TGAGTGCAAGGGCGATGTAGTTCCAGCGGCGCTTTCTTATAAAGCTTGGTCTTTTATCTTATTTGCGAATTGGATCTGAAATCTGTCCAGTGAAGATTTAGTATTCTTCTATGTTCTCAAAATTGTCTAATTTTTTTGAAAAATCTAGAGGTATGGTTGCTTTCCAACTCTCACATCAATAACCTTGAATTTAAAACGTTTTAACAAAAGATCTTAAAATTTAGAGCTTGAAATCTGATTCTAAAACAATGGATGTTTTACAATGGCTGCTTGTCGGGTCATCAGTCAACAGTCTTTAGCGAACCTAGAGGACACTATGTCCTGCAATCTTGACCCAAACCGGAAACCTCAGTGGTGAGTCATTTTATTTGCTTTGTCTGCTTTCGCTAGTTGATGCAATGGGTAGTTCATTGGCTGAGATGCTAGAATGTCTCTTCTGGGTACATAGGCATTTCTCTTTCTTCTTTGTCATCTTCCAGTGAGGCCTGGACCAATACCCACCTCATGCAAAGCCTTGTGTAGGAATTCCAGGGAAATTTGACTAAAAAGCTTAACCAAATGGGAAACAGAAAAACGTGTACAGAACAGCACAAATAACGTAATGTTTCAGCCGGGCAGCCTTTGTACAAAGGTAACGACGATGAGAGGAGAGTAAACAGTGGCGGGAAAACAAAAACAAAAATGGGGGTCAGGTGCAGTCGATGTGAAAATCCAAAAAATGGTAAAAATAATGGGGGTTACTGCAGTCAAGCTAATACAAGGAATTCCAGGAAAATTTGACTAAAAAGCTTAACTAAATGAGGAAGCAGAAAACATGCACAAAACAACACAAATAATGTAACGTTTCAGCCGGGCAGCCTTTGTCAAGTCACAACCATATTTTCACCATTTCAAGCCTTATGTAGATCAATCCAGTCTCAGCTGTGTACCAGCAACTTTAAATCTTTGCTCCAGGCTATGCCGGCGAATTGGGTAATGAACAGGCAGACAGATTGAATGTATCTGCACCAATGGGTGGTGAATTGATACATGACAGGGCAGATGTGGTCGAGGCCCTTTGGGAACAAGCAACAGAATCAGTGGAGAAACAAGATTAATATAGCCTGGAGAAAATGAGACACCTGGTGGGTCTGGCCGGCTCATTACACTCAGAGGAAAGGCAAGCTGGACATATAACCAGATTGTGACTAGTATCATCAGTATTGGAACTCTGCGCTGGCTGCTGAAGATGAGGACGGAGCACACATGGGAATGCCCCAAGTGCTGTGATGTCAATTCTTGACTCAACCCATCTGTTTGTCAGCAAATGTCCTGGAAAGTAAAAAAAAACTGGCCAAAGAACCCTGGGTGTGCTGACTGGCGTAGATAAAATATTTTGACAGCACCAAATGCCCTGTACGCCCCAAAAGCATGAAAATAAGTTCTTTTTTTACAACACCATTACCCCCAACATCTGTATCTACTGTGTGAGTACCTATACTTGTTTTTTTTAAATAAGTTAAGGTCAGGATTGTTTGTTTTTCTTGTGGCTTCCAGTAGAAGGAAATTCATTTACACTATTATCAGGTCTTTCTCAATGTGTGCCTTATCCAGAGCCAGTATCTTTTCCTCACCTCTTGTTTTGCTGGAATTGACATTGATGTTTGTTATTGATGAATTTTTCAGGCTGTACCGCCTGCAGCTGTAATGGCCATGGAGATGCCAACCTGGGGGAGTGTGACAACAAGAGGGGAGAATGTTTCTGTACGGGCAACACACAGGGAGCTTACTGTGAGCACTGTCGACAGGGATACTATGGAAACCCCAGGTATTAATTTTCTAGCAGTGTTCTCCTCCTTATCTTCCTCCTTCATCTTCTTCTTCAACATCTTCTTATTCTTCATCGTCTTCTTCTTCTTCAGGTTCTTCATCATCTTCTTCATCTTTGTCTTTTTCATCTTCATTTCTTCTTTTCTTTGTCTTCTTTACCTTCTTCAGCTTCTTTTTCTTCTTTTTCATCTTCTTCTTCTCCTTCTCTTCCTTCTCCTCCTCCTTCTTCTCCCCCTTCTTCCTCTTCCTTTTTCTTCTTATTTTTCTGCATTTACCCTCAAATGGATGCTATGCAAGTTTTGTTACGGTTGACAACTAGTCTGTGATATCTTCACTTTCAGTCCAACACATCTGATTTTAGCAAACCCCTATTAATTGCCATTTTACAGCATGCTTGTTTGGGGAAGGGGAGCATTGGTTTCCCCTCCCCCATCCGTCAATGGGGCCCCGGAACACCTACAAGAATTAGCACTGTTTTGCATCCAGTAAATTTGGTCTTAATGATTTCTCTCATTCTGAAACAGCACAGAAGAAAACTTGACTTGTAAACAGCATCTTTTCTTAGAAACTGAAGTATTTTGACTATATGAAATGTCACAATATTAGGAAGAAAAAATAGTCAAGGGCATGGTACTGGAAGAGAGAGGTGGGGCAGATCAGAAAATTCAGGAAAAAGATAAGAGAAACCCTGGGTAGGAAAGTGCATGAGGTGGGATAGATGATGGGTGACAGTTTCTCAGAAAGCTGAAGTAATTTGACCATAAGTAATTTTCCTGAATCAAATGTCACAATGGCTTGGAAATGGAAAGAACAGTAATGCAGGGCATGGTACTGGGAGAGAAAGGCAGGGGCAGACCAGCATGAATGTGGGCAAAAGACAAGAATAACTACGACCTAAGTGTTTCTTAATATCATGTTCTTTTCCTTTTACAGAGACGGGGGCAGGTGTTATTTGAAGTGCGACCACCGGGTGTTTGTGACTAATGTGACGGAGGGGGCACTAGGGTCATACAAGGGCAGCGGTGTCGAACATCCAGAACATGTCTACTGTTTGTGGGTGCTGACTGTGTTTGCTGACATCCTGCATGTTCCATCCGACACCGAGGCCGTCCCAACTTTGGCTCTGACAATGGAAGGAGACATGGCGATCGAGTGTGGCCAGGTTGGTAACAAATTTGAGAGTGAAAAGTTCAACGCTTGGCAAAATGAATGAAATGAAAAAAAAAGCGATGGAAAGAGAGAAAGAGAATTACAGCCTTAACTTTTCTGCCCGGGAAATGCTTAGATAAAATAAAATAAGGCAGAAACAGTTGGGAATTCTTGAAGAAATTTTTAAAAAACAAACATTTGACATAGATCACAAATTTAAAAAAAATTGTTCTATTTTATCTACATTTTATTTAAAAAAAAAAATTTGTTTGACTGAAATACATTTGTGAGCAATGAAAAAACATGAATAGAGTGAAACATTAAACGGAATACATTCGTTGGTGTTTTTTTTTTTAATGTATTGAAAACCTCACACCATGACCCCGCGACCTCATTAGTATTCTGTAGGCAAACTTCAACTCAGAGTGGCTCGAAAAAGTGGATGACAGGGTTAAGTAAAAATAATTGTAATGTTTTGATGATAATTATATTATGACATGTTATCACAATCAGCATATCCCCATTTAGATTTTCCTTTGACTCCGCTGGAGGGAAAATAAGAATATATCCACTGCCTCCCAGACAAGCATGTTGTAAGAGTTGACTAATTAGTATGTTTCCTTTGAAGTGCATCTGCTGGAGAGGCAGGGAGCCATCAGTATGCATACAAATAAATCTGATCTGTAAAACGGATGTGCACACAACACTCAGGTTCTGGAACAAGTCTAAAAGTCCAGAGGTGGATGAATAACCCAAACTTTCTGCAGGAGTTTACAGCCGGTAAATGCGAAGAATGAGAAGAGGCAATCAGCATACTGCAGTTCAAACATTCCCATGCTTGCCCAGACCTCTGATACAGCCGACATCCCAGCATTCCTCCACTCTTGGGAGCGAGCCCATGACCTTCCGATCTGCACGCGAGTGTCTAGCTGCTACACCACGGCGACTCCCAGAAGAAAAGAACATACTTGTGAAAAGTTAAGACTTCATCAGAGGGAAAGAACATACATGTAGTTGAGATTGCATTGGGAGTAGAGAAGAACATACTTGTGAAAAGTTAAGACTTCATCAGAGGAAAAGAACATACATGTAGTTGAGATTGCATTGGGAGTAGAGAAGAACATACTTGTTCAAAGTTAAGACCACATCAAAAGAAAAATACATATGGGTATGAAGTTGTGACCAGAGTAGAAGAGAACAGGGTACGGTACGTGTATGAAGTTGAGGCTGCACCAGGAAAAGACAAGAATTTTCTTCTATGAAGTTGAGCCTTGTGTACTTTCAGTAATTTCTGACATAGATAGATAACTTCCACACTATGATGTCAAATTGTCCAGCATCTTCTCTCTTGAGCTGCCTCTACATTGCTTCCTATCGACCTTTCCTGCTGTCAGGATGTACTCCCGTTTTTCTTTTCTCCTTTTCCTGATGTGATCAAAGAATGTATATTCGGTTCTCTTCATTTCCTGTGTGGATTCCTATGTGAAGGGGAAAGAATAGACTCACTGCTAACCCCCCCCCCCCCCCCTCACACACACACACACAAACACACACACAAACATGTAGTTAAAGTCGACTAATTAGAAGAGTTTCCTTCTAAGTGGGAGTTCATCTCCCTGAGAGGTGAGGAACCAACAGGCTGCAGACAAATAAGCTAGACATGTAAAACAGATGTGCATGCAAAACTCAAGCTCTTGAACAAGACTAAAGTCTAGAAGTTGACGAACAGCCAGAATTTTCCAATGGAATTTACGGCAAGAAGAAGAAATTCCCTTCATTAGTCAATTTATTTCAAGACATCTTCATTACTTTCTTTATCTGTCCATTGTGTTCTGATTTTTTTATGTATAAGATCATGTCTCTGCAGTTTCCACATGATTCACTACTCAGCTGACTTTTTATAATTCATTTCAGTATATTAAGATAGGCAGTTTCATGTGAACATAATGTATATGTTCTCAAGATTGGCAGTTTTATGTGAATGTAATGTATATGTTCTTAAGATTGGCAGTTTCATGGGAACATAATGTATATGTTCTCAGGATGCTGTTCATATATATAGTGGCATCCCGGATTTTATCTCTGGTGCTACAGCAGGCCCCAGCGAATCCCTGGGAGAATTCTGTGGCATGAATCCTGGTAGAGACATGACCGTATATGGGACATCAGGAACAATAACTGTGTTCTTTGAGGGAGATTTGCTGCGTAAGTTCTTCAGTATGTCAGTGTTGATCAGTGTCTTTGGAGTTAGTCTTGATAACTTTACAAATATCGTAGGCACCAGTGCAAATTTATAGGGGAACTTTACAAACATCATAAATACCATGGGATATTTAGAGATACATATTGCATTGATTCCCCCCCCCCCCCCCCTTAAAATGTGAAATCAATTCTTTTTATAACTGCATGCATATTAAAACGTGATCAAGTTTCCGTGTGAATACACATGCTGGAACGTATCACAAAATGTTGTTTTTTATTTATACACCACACAGTTGATTTCACTGTTACACTCTGTCCCGGTGATTCCCAAACTGTGCGCCGCGGCATCCCAGGGAGCTGCGACCTCTTCACGTGAAATATTCGAAGATACACACAAGTTTCTTTTTTGTGTGGTTAAATCTCTTACATACGAATAGCCATACTTTTACTTAGGAGTGCCGTGGAAACATTTTAATTGAAAAAAGGCGCAGCAACTAAAAAAGTTTGGGAAGCACTGGTCTCTCCTATGCAGTTTTTCAAAATCACTTGTGGAGTCTGTGTATTTGTTTTGTTTTATTGTCAAGGTTAATGATGACCTGGACAGCATTGATCAGTAATTATGATAATAACCCAGAATGAAAGCAAAGTAGTAACATTACTAAAACAATACTACATGGCTCAGTAGAGAGGAAAGGAGAAGAGGCAGACCAAGAAAGACCTGGACACAGAACTTGACTGACTGGACAGGCCTTAGGCATGCATGCAGCCATAAGGTCCATCACAACTGATCGTTAATGATGGAGGGATCTGATCAGTCAACAGCAACTGGTGACCCAAAGACACGCAGTGTTTTAGGATGATGATGATAATGATGAATAACATTGTACTCTTTAAAAAAGAAATCTCAAGAGGCTTTTGAGGAGTTTTTGTTTAGGGCTAATTTTGATAGATGGTGAAAGCTTTGTCTTTTCACTTGTTTTTTTTTAGTAAACCTATTTGCCATTCTGTGCATGGAGTTGTTCATGCGTTAACATTTTTCTGTTAGGGTAAGCACCTTTTCTTCCATTCGAAGGCTCATGCTCTGGAGGCCAGAAGTTGCATCCAGCTCATGGATTGGTGTGCTTCTCATACCTCCAGTGATGAGACAGTCAACAGCAACTAGTGACCCAAAGACGCGCAGTGTTTTGGGATGATGATGATGAGTAACGTACTCTTAAAAAAAAAAAATCTCAAGAGGCTGTTAAGGAGTTTTTATTTAGGTCTACTGTTTCATTTCAGAAACACTGTTAGCTGAAAATGTGAACCATCAGTTGGTTTAGGATGTATGCTTCATCAAAAATAGGGGCAGAAATTAAAAATAAAAAAAAAAAAAGAAGAAGAAATAGAAACAACCTGTAAAGACACAAGGTTTAAAAAATAAATAGGATGTATTTGTGTTTTCATTTGGTTAAACCCATAATGAGTAGATATCAGTCAGGAGGTTCATAACCGTATGTTACTCCCATCACAGTCTGCCTGAAAGAAACTCTGTCCCTCGCCTGCTCTCCCCCTTCACATACAGAAAAACCCAAGGTGTCTCTTACATCCTGTGCCCATCTTCGTGCTGGTCGGCCCCTGCCCCTCTTTCTTGGTGCCATGCCTTCTGCTACTGTTCTTTCCAGCCTGAAGTGGCACTTGATAGTGGCAAAATATTCCAGTTTAAGATGCTGTTTACAAGCCAGTTTTCCTGGATGTTTCGATCTTTTAAGATGTCAGTATTTCTCTGCTTGGACCATTGTATTCTTAGAATCTTTCTATAGCATTCCAGCTGAAAAGCCCTTTTTTTTTCTTGAATGACTGTGAAATAGTCCATCATTCACATCCATATGTTACTACTGGAAAGATGCATTCTCTCGGTCTTTTGACTTTGATTTCCTTGCTGGTACTTTTAAAGTCTGTTAAATATGCCAAAATTACCCTACTGATTTAATGATGTCACAACCAAATGCTAGCTATCCATGCTAATTAAAATAATATTGCAGCAGTTGGTTTTGTTTCTGTGCAGTTTTTTCACTTACTTTTTTTAGGTTCACCGAATCAAGAATTATTCTCCTTCTTCTTCATATTCCTCTTTTTTTTTGTGATCATTTGCCCTTGATACTATAGCTAGCACATTGTGTTGTGGTTTACAGTTAGGCTGCAGTATATGCGCTTTTCACATCCGGCGTCACCCTCCCCCCCCCCCCCTCCTTTTTCCCCCTTCCCTTCGCCTCTCCTAACCAGTTTGTCATCTTTTACATTATACTTGTTAGGAAAGAATGCCTGAAAAAAAAAAGGATGAACAATAAATGTAATGAATTTAGGTGTAGTGAAGAAATAAGAGAACAGTATGGACAACCACTGGTATCAACTGTTATAAGATAGAAAGGATGGCGCTATATTGGACACATTCTGAAAAGAGACGAAAAGGGAATGGCCAAACAGGCACTGAAATAGTAAATAAAGGGCTTGAAAATGATGAACAATAAGTTTGATGAATTCAAGAGCAGTGAAGAAATAAGAGAAATGTCCTGGCAGCCACTAGTATCAACAAGTTATAAGATAGAAGATGGTGCTCTATAGGACACATTCTGTTAAGAGAGGAAAAGGGAGTCACAAAACAGGCACTGAAGCGGGAAATAAAGAGATTAAGGAAATGAGGGCATCCAAGAGAAACTCAACAGGGAAGGTTGACCAGAGAGAAGCCAAAGATGCCGGACTGGATTCCATCCACGATATCATAGTGATTTCACAGGATAGAGAAATAGAATGTGAGCCTATGCGACAAATGATGGCACAACTGGACAATAGATGAGTCATTGTTATGTTGGCAGTGAGTCTTCCCCCCCCCCCCCCCCCCCCCCCAAAAAAAAAAATAGGCGTACCCACATGTGGATATAAGTCAAATATTCAGCACCACATTTCTCTGCCGTTTGTCACTTTTTCTGTACTTTTAGAATTTTTTCCCTAAAGCCTTTTTTCATAGTCTAGGACTCATGCGCCACATATCCCAGTGGTTTATTAACATTTTTCTGATTTATTTTAGGATCTTTGAGTCGAGGATTCAACGCCACATTTAAAGCCTATTCGTGTCCAGATAGATGCCATGAAAACCATGAGTGTAATGCCGGCAGCTGTATTTGCAAGGAGGACTTCTGGGGCGAGAACTGTCAGCTGCCCATCTGCCCGTTTAATTGTTTTAAGCATCTATATCAAGGCTACTGTGTAAGTGGATATTGTATGTGTTGTCCATCAAGATTATGATGACCACTCTTTTTCATCAAGTATGAGTGCGAAGATGACTGATGAGGCCGATGCGGGCCCGAAAAGTTCTTAGACAGTGAGGACAGGGAATGAGTGTTGTGCCAGGGAGGGTATCTCCTGCAGTCGCCTTTCTGTCCATCCTTTTCTTAATCAGTCCTGCTGTTCTGTTTGCTTCACGTGTAGCTGCACCCTTATGAAGAGTTGCACGCCATGCACTTCGGTCTTGAGAGGCAGCCTCTCAGTTTGTGTCATTCATCCCATATGCTTTGAGTGAAGACTTCAAGGTGTCCTTAAAGCGTTTCTTTTGCCCGCCTTGGGAACGTTTCCCATTTTGCAGCTCACCATAGAAGAGGTTTTTTTTTGGCATGCCTGCCACATGACCAGCCCAACGAATCTGATACTGCATCAGTAGAGTGTGGATGCTGAGCATGGCTGCTTTTTCAAGGACTATTGTTGATATCATGTATCATTGCTTTTTTACTTTCTTTTTTTTTTGTATTCACCAGCTGCAAACTTCGATAGAAAGTTATGGTTAATAGAGTCTGCTTCTGGATTTAAGTCTGGTTCCAGAACTTAATTTGCCAGCACATTCATTTTTCTCAGATCTGTTTGTATGCCTAGAGGCTAGACGCTCGCCTGCCGATTGGAAGGTCATAGGTTCGAGTCCTGACAGAGACCTGCACACAACACAGTCCATGGCATTTTGCTTCTAAAATCATTATAGCCTGTATTATGACAGAAGTAGTTGTTTAAGATAAATGATCCTATATGTGATTCTGTACCCCTTCAGTGTCGTGACCGTGAAGAGTTCCAGTGTTTTTTCTCATGGAACTTTTACTCATTAGTTTATTTCTAGATGGACTTTTGCCATTTGCGGATGTAGTGTCAGTTTTTAAATTTTCTGTTCAACAGCTGAACGGGCTCTGTGCCTGCAATCGTGGATTTAGTGGCGTGGGCTGTGAACAGAAAACAGAAAACACAGACATGAAAAACATGCGACTGCAGATTTTAACAGACTCCAAGCTGGCAAACTCACCCATTGGGAAATTCCGTTCATACATAGACTTCGTCTCATCGGCCTTTGGCCCCTCCCCCAGGGCGGGTCACACACTGACCACCTGTGGGGAAGGCTTGATGTTTCTCTTTGGGGGTTACTCACATCAGCATGGCATCCTGAACGACATGTGGATGTTTAATGTCAGAAACAAAGTATGGACCCATCTGCTGCCAGCAACTGATCAGAGCCCCAGTGGAAGGTTAGTTGTGGTGCTGTTATGTTGTTGTTGTAATATAATGGGTTCTTTATTTATATCATACCCCAAATAGGGAAAATCCACAGGTCATGGGACATAGTATTTCAGGGGGTGGTAGATAGGCTGCATGCAGTCTTGGGACCTAGGCTGTCTGCAGTCTTGGGACCTAGGCTGTCTGCAGTCTTGGGACCTAGGCTGTCTGCAGTCTTGGGACCTAGGCTGTCTGCAGTCTTGGGACCCAGGCTGTCTGCAGTCTTGGGACCTAGGCTGTCTGCAGTCTTGGGACCTAGGCTGCATGCAGTTGTGGGACCTAGGCTGTCTGCAGTCTTGGGACCTAGGCTGTAAGCAGTCATGGGACCTAGGCTGTCTGCAGTCTTGGGACCTAGGCTGCATGCAGTTGTGGGACCTAGGCTGTCTGCAGTCTTGGGACCTAGGCTGTCTGCAGTCTTGGGACCTAGGTTGTCTGCAGTCTTGGGACCTAGGCTGTCTGCAGTCTTGGGACCTAGGCTGTCTGCAGTCTTGGGACCTAGGCTGTCTGCAGTCTTGGGACCTAGGCTGTCTGCAGTCTTGGGACCTAGGCTGTCTGCAGTCTTGGGACCTAGGCTGCATGCAGTCATGGGACCTAGGCTGTGGGACGTAGGTGGGTTGTGGTTAGGGCCACTTCTAGATGTTTTGGGGTCGTTAAAAGCATCATAAAGCCGGGAAATCAAGTCTTACTACCCTTTAAAATGTTGGACTGTCCTGTGACGTCATCAGGGGTAGGATATAAATAAAGCACTATATAATGTAATCTAAATGAGGCTTAGACAATTTTTACTTTGATTGCTAGAAAAGTATATATGTAGTACATTGTCTTCAGCCTGAGATGTTAGAATAACTACATTAAACTCACAGTGTTTGCTGAGGAACCTGAGCGTCATTATTCGTTAGGCTGTGAAGTTGTTGTCTTTGTTCTATTACATCAGTCTGGTTGATGTTCGATAATACAGGCAATAGAGAAGCATGATGTTCATTCAGAGTGTGGAAGACTATAGACGGAAACATGGGGGAAGTCTAAGAAAATTGCGCTACCCTGATTACGAAACACCTGTCTGCTCTTTATCACCTTATTTATAATTAGGAAGAGTCTCCATTTTACTCTAGCTGCAATTGCTGTCTGCAGGTATCACCATGCAGCGGCCTGTATCCCACTGCTAAAGATGATCTTTGTCTTTGGTGGCTTTGAGGAGCTGGACACTGACACCTGGACCATGACCAGAACTGTTCGGCCCACTAACACACTGTGGAAGTTCAACATTGAGTCTCATGCCTGGACCTGGGACCAGGTGAGACTAGCAAGTTCATGGGCGATTGGTGCTTTTCTTTTCTTCTTTTTCTTCTTCTTCTCCTCCTCTTCCTCTCTCCTCCTCTTCTTCTTCGTCTTCTTCTTCCTCTTCTTCTTCCTCTTCTTCTTCTTCTTCTTCTTCTTCTTCTTCTTCTTCTTCTTCTTCTTCTTCTTCTTCTTCTTCTTCTTCTTCTTCTTCTTCTTCTTCTTCTTCTTCTTCCTCTTCCTCCTCCTCCTCCTCCTCCTCCTCCTTCTTCTTCTTCTTCTTCTTCTTCTTCTTCTTCTTCTTCTTCTTCTTCTTCTTCTTTTGGCAATATGTGCATTTAAGAGATGATCAGTAGCCGAACCAGGGTGCAGTCAGTTGCTTGGTTTGCTATGATTTTGTGAAGTCTCATGTTGTTAGGGAGTCTCCTAATCCATATTCTTCTGGGTCTCCCTCTGCCTCTTGAAGTTTTATGCTCTTTAAGCCAGCATCATTGGATTCATTCTCACCAGCTGGATGAATCATTTATGACATTGGTTCTCAAAGAACTTAATGAGGGGGATTGTTTCAGTAGTTATTCAGATAGTTTTGATTGGCAAAAACATCTTTTAATGAAGAAAAAATGTCATGTTTAACCCTTTTAGCTTGTCACTGCTTGCTCAGAACAATGTTGCCTGAAGAATATGTACTGTATTCTTTCGTGTATAAGATGAACCTTATAGGAAAAACTTTAATTTATCCTTTGAGGCATGAAAGAGAATTCTCAAGAACTAAATAAATCCTATACTGAGATACAGAAGTTGATAATAGACAGTTGAATGATTAGGGATAAATTTGGAAGTGGCGGAGACAGGGTTTTATAGATGAATGATAAGAAAACCCTGTTTAAGATATGTATGGAAGCTGGATCTTTAACCTTTGTTTGCATGTTAAGTCTCACATTGTGCTAATGGCATTGGGCAGATGAGTGCATTGGGGAAGGATACCAGCCTTACCCTAGGAAGAAGAAATTCAACCTTAAAACTAAACCTTGTAGCAGGGCAGACCAGGCACTTATCTATGGTTGAAGGAGAGAATTTCTGACAAATGGATAGACACAGCATTGCTTTTCTGATCCGGCAGTTTCTGCATCCAGGCTTTGTTCCAAACATATCGATGTTACCTTTCCTTTGGAGTAAACAAGGCAGGCTGATAGAAGAATCATGTTCCATGGGCATCACCTGGTCTTCACTTGTACTTACAAGGCTTAATGCTAAGGACTGACCATTACTGTGGGCCGTGATTGCCAAACTTCACTGTAGCACAGTATAACACTATCATCTGGTCCCCATTGGGTTCCAAGGCCCAATTATAGATGTAAAATAGGATAGACCCACCGCCTTCTCCTTTCCCCTCCCCCCAAAGCATATCATGAGTCGATTAATTAGTGGTTTCATATGAAATAAGAGTGCATCTGCATGTGAAACAAGGAACCGACAGTGCATACAAATAAGCCAGATCTGTAAAATGGAAATGCCACACAAAACTCAAGTTCTGGATAAGACTCAAGTCCATAAGTGGACGAACAACCAGAACTTTCTGCTGGAGTTATAGTGAGCGCAAATGAAGAAGAAGAAGGAAAATCTATGGTCTGAAAGTACGGAAAGGCGCTAAAAACGTGTCTTGTCATCTGTTCATCAGTTGTTGTCTCTGGTCAGTTTCAGTCTCCCTCCTGGCTACCTGCCCTGGCTGGTCATACCCTGACCCATGTGGGCTCCACCAACCTGATGCTGATTGGTGGCTTCTCGTCGGAGAACTACTTCAGTGACAAAGTCTACGAGTACAATGTCTCCAATGGGCTGGTGGCCTGGCAGGAGCATAGCCGGCTTGACATGAGTGGTTCGATTCCTATAGGTAATTATATCTACCTCTCTAAAATGTTATTTAACCCTATTGATCCCAAACGATGCATGGTGTGTTACCATTGCCCACATGTCTCAGACATCAAATTGCGTGTCTTCTTATATTTAAGTTTTGGTTAGAATATACAAAATACATCCCCCAGACACATGGATATATTTCATTCATTTTTTCTACGACACTAAATACATCCGGAAGACGGGATATATTTAATTCATTTTTCCTACAATAGTAAATACATCCCCCAGACACAAGGATATATTTAATTAATTTTTCCTACAACAGTAAATAATCCGGCAGACACAAGGGGATATATTTCATTCATTTTTCCTACAACACTAAATACAGCCATCAGACACATGGATATATTTCATTCATTTTTTCTACAACACTAAATACATCCAGCAGACACAAGAGGATATATTTCCTTCATTTTTCCTACAAAACTAAATACATCCAGCAGACACAAGGGGATATATTTCATTCATTTTTCCTACAACACTAAATACATCCAGCAGACACAAAAGGATATATTTCCTTCATTTTTCCTACAATAGTAAATACATCCAGCAGACACAAGGGGATATAAATACAACATAAATACGGCAGCGGACACAAGGGGATATTTCCTTCATTTTTCCTTTACATCCAGCAGACACAAAGGGATACATTTGATTCATTTTTATGGCAATATTTAATGGGGCAAGGGGTTCTACAAAACCTCAAGAGACCAAAATAATTAATAAACAAATTGAAAGTAGTGCTGTATTTATCACATCTGGAGAAGAAGCGAGCAGAGAATCACCAACCGAACAGGCACTGAAATGGGAAACATTGATTGAGGAAATGAAGAAGCCAAGAGAAACCCCAAAATGAAGGTGGCTGAGAGAAGCCAAAGGGGCTGGACTAGATTCTGTCCAAGATATCGAAAGGATTGAACAGGAAAGAACAGAATGGAGGATTAGACTGTGAGCACTATGGGATGCATAAAGGCACAGTAGGATGATGAGGATGATGTAATCCTTTCTTCTGTGTTTGTCTTTATAAAAGCTTAGTTGACGTATTGTATTGAAGTTTACAGCTAGTCTGACTGCTGTGACTGAACGTTTCAGTCCCTTCCTCTTAATCCCGACCTGTCAGGTAATTTATTCTTCAATTTTTATATTTGGTCTGAACATCTAAAGAAATTCTGGGTTGCTACTGGCATTGTGCCTTTAGCCAGTCCACCCAAAAATATTTGCCAACCTAATTAGTGGCAATAGTTGACACTGAATGGAGAAATCGGATGGTTGTTTTTGCAGTGCTTGATCTCTTAGAAACAATGCTCCAGGTGTGTGTTTCAGAGTTTTTAACCTCTACTCAGCAGCAGATGTCATAAGAGCTATAAATTGTAATTTTATAATACTGTATTTAATCAGTAAAGTACTGTTTACATTTGTATTTGTTTCTGTCTTTTCCCCACTTGTTGTCCTGGCCTGCAGATGTTAAAACTGCTGTGAAGAATATACTGTGAACTTGATAATAGGTGCTGAAAACACGGGATATTCTTTTACTCAATTTCTTCTTCTGATGGTCCGTGTTGTGTGGCATTGGTAGTCATGTCTGTTCCCCCCTGTTTTTTTTCGTCCGTCTCATGTACTTGGCGTCTGTGGCCTAGGCGTTGCGAATGCGCTTTGTAATGCCAAGGTGCCGGATTCGATCCCAGCTGCAGGCCTTTCGCTTTGCATTGGTTTCGACAGTGTTATCGAGAAGCCAACCATCCAGAAAGCAATGGCAAACCACTGTACGTAAACTTGCCCAGAAAAACCACAACAGCCACAAAATGTTGGGGCTGATTCTGCAACGTCCTGTAAAGGATACGCAACTAACGAACTCATGTACTTTCAGTTATTACTGCCACAGATGATCGTCCATGCCATGATGGTCAGACTGTCCAACATCTTCTCTCTTGGTCTTCCTCTGCCTCTTTTTCTCTCCAGCTTTCCCCACCATCATGTTTTACTCCAGTTTTCTCCTTCTCATGACATGAATTAGGAATGTAGATTGTCTCCTTCTGATGTGGGTAATCCAATTGAAAATGTAGATTGTCTCCTTCTGATGTGGGTAATCCAATTAAAAATGTAGATTGTCTCCTTCTGATGTGGATAATCAGTTCTCACGGTGAGTCATTTTCCTTCAAGACACCTTCATTATTTATTTTTTTTTTTCTACCCAGCGTATTCTCATCATTCATCTATGAAACCACATTTCTGCAATTACATTTATTATAAAATATTATAAAAAATGTTTTTTAAGAGAATTTGACAGTCTGGATTGAACATGACCTGAGATCTGTTTCTGTTGCCAGGCATTTACGGACATAGCGCTGTTTATGACCACTTCACACAGACAATTTATATTTATGGTGGCTATCTGTTTCGATCGGACCAATGGTATGTGTCCCGAGAACTCTTCACATTGGATGCACGGGTGAAGAAATGGAACATGCTGTATCCAATGCACATAGCGATGTAAGTAGCTTGACATACAATTACTATTTTTATCTTATTTTTATAGTTCACACTGTATCCAAATGCACATAGCGACAAAGATACATGACCGCAGAACCCACACAGGGATTTTACTTACTCATAGCATGTTTAAAGAATGTCTTCCGAGTTCAGGAGCCAGATCTTTGTGTGAGTTAGTTTCTTTCAAGTAATTTTCATTATTCTTTTTATTTGCTCATGGCCATTCTTATCGTTGTTCTATAGATCCACAGTTCTGCAGTTTCTGCATCATTCCTAACTTCTCTGCTGACTCTGCAGGAGTCATATCCCTACATCAGGATTTGCTTTGTATTGATCTTTCTCATTTGGTAGCAACATGTTGGGTGCTTTATTAATATCCTACCCCAAACAGGGGAAATCCACAGGTCAAGAGGTGGTAGATAGGCTGCATGCAGTCTCATGGGACCTAGGCTGCACTCTCTTGTAGGTTGGGGTTAGGCCATTTCTAGATGATTTGAGGCCGTTAAAAGCATCACAAAGCCTGGAAATCCAGTCTTACCGCCCCTTAAAATGTTTGACTGTCCTGTGACGTCATCTGAGGTAGGATATTAATAAAGCACCACATGTTGTTTGCAGTGACCCTGTGTGGGTTCCGAGAAAAGGAATAGGGTGACCACACACCCACCCACACACACACACACGCGCAAGCAAGCCATAAATGGCGATTAATTAGGAGTTTGCTAAAATGGGATTTGGGTGGGGGGGGGGGTGTCAAAAGGTGCGGTTATAGCAGCCTAGCTGTAAACCACAACACGATGTGCCAACCAGCCATTTAATAGTGAACAATGAAGAAAAAGAAGACATTTGCACTAAGATGTTATTATGAATCTCTGATGTTGTATTGCGGTAAGCCTTAGAATGCCGACGAAGAAATGAAGAAATGCTGGAAAGCAGTGTGACTTTAAAAATAAAACATGTTTATTGTTTGTGTTTTCTTTTTCCAGTGGGAAAGTCGAGTATTCCACGCAGCTGTACATGTTGGCGATGCCATGATTGTAATTGGCGGTCTTACAATCACTGGTAGCTATGCTAAAGATGTGCTGGTGTACAGATATGCGTGTAACACATGGCATCGTCTCAAGTTTAGTGGTAAATATGCTTGACTATTTAAAAAAAAAAATTATACATGATACAAAGAAGTGAAAACTGTATATATAAGGGAGATAAATGGTCGTAGACCAAGAGGCAGACCAAGAAATTGATGGAGAGATAATATCCAGACAGACCTGCAAGAGGGTACATGATGGCACCACTGTGTTTGTTATTTGTTGATTTTTTACTTCTTCCTTCTGCGTTCACTGACTGTAAACTCGGGTGGAAAGTTCTGGTTTTTTGCCCTTATCTGGACTTTAGTTGTGTTCTAGAACTGGAGGTTTGCCTGCACATCCATTTTACAGTTCTGGCCTATAGGTATGCAGGCTGTTGGTTGCAAGCCTATCAGACAGATGCACTCTAATTTCAGCTATTAAAAGTGTGTGGTTAAACACAAGCCAGGAAATCAAGATTAAGCAGGCATGAATGGCAAGGGAAGTTACTCTTATCCTGGGCCAGGAAATGTGAACAGGTCCGGAAAGTGCATGAGGCTGGAGATCTGGCCAGAGACCAAGTTTACCATTTACCCAATACCCTAAAAAGTGTAATAATAAAGTAAAAGGTTTATCATCGCCGTGCTGATAAGCATAGGCTATCATGTTTCGCCATCTCATATGATAACTAGAATCACAGATCAGGACAGTGCTCTTGTTTTGCATGTCATCCCCCCCCCCCCCCCCCCCAGTTTATCTCTTTGCCTTCCTCTTTCTGTCAATCTTGCCAAGTTCTTGAGGCCATTCATTCTCCGAAACACACCAGCTGTCTAGGTTTAATTTGTCTAATCAGTTTGTGGCTTTAATCCATCTCAAGGAGAAATACTTTGTTTTTCTATCATTCCTTCTTTCAGGTTTACCTAGCCTTAAATGAGTCCTAGGAAGTGCAGGCAGCCAGCGTGATTTTGACCCACATTACCCGCTGAGTGCTGATTGGTCTGCAACATCTAGATCTTGCCTAATATGCCTGAAAGCGTGGGAAAAGGATCCGTTACTTACTTTACCTGATATTCTTTGCAAGTCATCTCATTAATAGGTTGAGCCTCTATGACAGTGGTTCTCAAACTTTTTTCGCCACTTCACCCTTGTCAGGCAAACACACAATTCCGGCACACCTGCCCTTAAAGCAGTTTGAATACTTGGGATCCCCGTGTGGGTTCCGGGGTCCCATCGTAGGGAAAACAAGAATAGACCCTCTGCTTACCCAAAAGCATGTGGTAAGAGTCGACTAATTGGGGAGCTTTTTTTTGAAGTCGGAGTGCATCTGCCTGAGAGGCAAGGAACCAGCAGTCTGCATTCAAGTGAATCAGATCTGTAAAACTGATGCACACGCAACACTCAGGTTCTGGAGCAGGACTGCAGTTCAGAAGTGGACGAACAACCAGAACTTTCCACCAGAGTGTACAGCTGGTGAATGAGAAGAAGAAGAAGAAGAATACTTAGGAAAAGAAGGGGGTGGGGGGGTTGCAAATTTAATGTTCAGTGGTCTTTACTGCGAGAATGAAACTCTGGATGAACTTTTGGCTATTTCTGTTATGTTTAGGGGAAGTTTAGTTAATTGTACCCTCAAATCAGTTTGAGAACCGCTGCTTTATGATGCTGTTCATGTTATGAACGTTTAATTCCAGACTTTGAACAGGATGAGATGAACCTGACGGTGGTGGGTCTGGATGCAGTCAGCCTGGGCAGTGTCGTCTACCTGTTTGGCGGATTTACGGGAGTCATGCTGGGCACTTTGTCGCAACTGGTGCTGCCGACGGATGTGTGCTCACTTATCAAGGACTCTGCGGTGTGCAGCAACATCTCCGGATGCCAGACGTGTGTGCAGATGTTGGAGACTGGGGAGAATGTGACCGTCTGTTATGACAGTAACAAAGCCAATGTCACTAGACCAGCAAGGTTAGTAGTGGGTGGTCCCCGTGTGGGTTCCGGAGCCCTGTTCTTTGGGAGTTGCTGGAGTGAGGGTGGGGGGGGGGGGGTGTGAGATAGACCCACTGCTTCCATAATAAGCATATGGTAAGAGTCGGCTCATTAGAGGTTTGCTTAGAAATTTGTGTACGTCTGTCTAAGAGTCAAAGAACTAGAAGTCTTTGTACAAATATACCAGGTCTGTAAAATGGATTTCCACACAGAATTCGAGCTCTGGAACAACACTGTAAAGTCCAGAAGTGGATGAACAACAGGAACTTTCTGCCAGAGTTTACAGCTGGTGAACGCTAAGAAGAGTATTATAAACTCTACAATACACACTGTCGGCTCTGTGGCTAAGTCGATGCGAACGCTTGTAATGCCGGGGTGCCGGGTTTGATCCCAGCTGCCGGTTCAACAGTGGTATCAGGGGGCTGACCGTCCAGAAAGCAATGGCAAACTACTGGACGTAAATTTGCCAAGAGAAACCACACAACAGCCAGGGGCTGCTGGGGTTGGTTCTGCAACTTCCTGTAAAGGATACGCAACTAACCTAACAACACACACTAACACCTTTTCTTACTAAATTTGGTGAGTTCCTAATTCTCTGAGTGTTTTTTTATTTTGCAAATGATTACTTTTTGGTATGGAAATTAGTATTATAAATAATATTTTTATCTTTGGTTATATCTGGGGTTCCATTTTGCAGGGGGAAAAGGAATAGATCCAAAACTCTTTAACAAGCATGTCATTAAAGATTACTATTTATTGGTTTTGTGGAGGCCAAAAACCAGTCCACTAGGACAACCCAGGGTTTGCTGGGGAGACAGCATCTGACAGTCCCAGACTGAAAGAGGACAAGTGGAACAAAGCTAAAAGGAAAACTGCTGACAGAGAAGTCTGGCGATCTCTCTAGCAAACCTGTATCCCCCAGGTTAGAGGACGAATGAATGTTGAATTGAGAATCGACATCCCAGCACTCGGGACACGCCCATAAGTGGTTAGAAGACAATTAGACTAAGTAAAGTGGGAATCGAATATGTTGGGCTGAGAAAGCACAGCCTGTCTTTCCTAGATGGAGAATAATGTGTTTTTGTATGCTTCTATTTATGTTTGAAAAGTAATGTGTTTTTGTATGCTTCTATTTATGTTTGAAAAGTTTTCTCTACTTTTGTGTGGTTTTTTTTTTATTGCAAAGACTTTTTATCAGATCCCTAACAAATCTTATGTGACACATCTGTTTGAGATCTGGCTTTTTTGTATGCAGACTGTTGGTTCCTTGCCTCTCATGCTGATGCACTCAGACTTAAGAACAAACAGCACTAATTTACAACATGTTTGATGGAGAGGAGCCGTTAGGTCTCTCACTCCTCCCCTCCTCTAACCCCACAGTGGGAGCCCCATAACCCACGACGGTGAATGGAAGCAGTTGAAGTAACAATTTTTCTAGAATAGATTACACATAACAAATCAATCAATCAATCAGGTGCCGTCTCCACAATGAAGGTTGGCTGCAATGGATCTCCCAACAAGCCCCTGTCTCTTGCCCTTGATGTATCTCGCACTCCATACTGCTGTTCGCCAAAATGGAAGCAGTTGCCTTTTGCTCGTAACTTGAATTTTTCTAGGATGATCTTTACAATACTGTTTAGATGTGGCCAAAATATTTCAATTCTCTCTCTATTTCCCCTACAAAAGAATGAGACTCTGTATTTGATAGCTTTTGTTGAGTATCAATAACAAAAGAATGAGACTAAAGCAGTTGAGAAATATGGGTCAGTAGAGTAACTGATTAAATTTATAATGGATTGCTTGATACTTTCTTCTTCTACTTCTTATCCTCCTTTTTGTCTCCTTGTGGAGCGTAGGCCCTCAGCCAACTCATTCCAAGTTCTATCCTTTCACCGGTAGCTAACCTCATGTTCCCCCTGTCCTTTTTTTAGCATCACTCTCTAGCTCTCTTCTCCATGTTTTTTTTTGTGTGGGTGAATTATAGTTTAAAGACAATCCAGTTAATTTGTTGTGTTCTCAGATTTTCTCAGTGTGTGGTTCTTGGTATTGAAAGATTTCAAACGTGCTCACTTCAGAGATTATTGTTCAATGTTGCAGGTGTGTGGGTCCCTCGCCTGAAGAGAAAAGATGCAACCTGCGAAACTACCTGCGCCGCGACTGCCATCAGTATACTGCCTGTAGCCAGTGCTTGGCTGTCCACCCCTATTTTAAGGAACATGTCAAGGATGATGAACCAGTAAGTTCATCTTCTGCCATTTTTTTTTTTCCTAATGTGAGAAAGAGGGAGAATTTTTTAATTTTAAAATTTAAAAATTTTTCCCTGATGACCATTGGTTTGAGGCAACAGCCTTAGTGTAGTGGCTAGACACTTGCCTTTAAATCGGAAGATTGTGGGTTCCAGTTCTGACGGAGCCAGACATTTTTTTTTTTTAATTCAAAAATAACTGTGGCTTTCAGATCCAGGTAAAGTCCTTGGAAGAAAAGGTGGCCGGTGTGATGCTACCTACATCACACACCAAGTACAGGTTGGTCTACAAAGTAAAGCTCTAGCCCTATATGTACAATACACTTGAAGGAGTTAAAGAAAGGGTCCTTAACTGTGGCCACTGGTTAAAAAAGACCGCTTTTTTGGATGCGCATCCTACAGGATACTGTGGATAAAGGAAAGGAAAAACATTGACATTCTACACGAGTTAAAAAACATCTAGGAAAACATGGCTCATAAACAGCATCCTGTCTTGAAAGTAAAAGTATTTTGGCCACATCAAATGTCATGGTGGCTTGGAAAAGACGGTGTTGGAGAGTGCAGTTTGTGGAAGACGAGGTACGGGTCGACCTCCGCGAAGATGGATACAGGACATTGAAGATGCATTGGAAATTAAAGTACATGGGGTTGGAGAGCTGGCTAGGGAAATGGATACTCTCATGTGTGCCGTAAAGAGAGCGTCATTCTGTAAAAGACTTGCTAGTTGATGATGATGATGATTCTACAAGAACATATCCCAGACTACATGTTCTTTTATGTCAGTGTTAAATTGCATCACCTAATAGTTACAAAGTAAATGGCTTCCTGGAAGGTTGGGCCTTAAATCTGTTCATTACCAATGAACGTACCAGGCATTTATCAGTTACTTTTAGTATGATGTGGTTCTCTCTCTCTCTTGTCTTGTCCACAATTGCCTCACAGCGTAGTGGGGAGTCGCAGTTTTCTATCCTGGGCCAGGTGTGTTGCACATGTTGTTGTTAGTCTGTGTTGCCTCAGGATCTCTGATATATTGTCTATCCATCGTACTCTCAGTCTGCCTCTTGCTCTAGGGCAGTAGTGATGTTCGTTGTATGCTCGTAGAGGCAGTTGGTCGGTTTGCATTCGCATCAAGTGGCCAAACCACTCTATTTGTTGCTTCTTTATGTATTGCAGGCATGGTGTGGTTCCTACAATTGATCTAATGTTCTCGTTTCGAACTCTGTCTCTCCTTGTGACATTGGCAGCCTTACGTAAGCATCTCATTTCGCACGTCGTGATCTTTTTCTCCTGTGCTCTTGGTAGGGACCAGGTTTGGCATTGGTAGCAGAGGGTTGGTATAAACATGCAATTTATCAATTGTCGTTTTAGTGCCATAGTGATGCTTGGGTGTTTTAGCAGTGGAAGGAGTTGGTAAGTTACTGCGTTCGCCTTTTGACATCTTGCCTCAAGTTCCCTATAAATTCTTCCATCATCTGATGTGGTTCTTAACCTGCTAAAGGCTCCCCTAATATGTTACATTCTTTTTCTTCTTCCTCTCTTCCACCTTGTACCTCAGTGAAGTGTCGGGGGGTAGATGTAACGTTCGTTGATGAGCTCTGTCAAGAGCTTGATGTTTTTTTCTGTAAGGCTGTTCTTAATGCCATCACCCCATCTTTTCCGAGGTCTTCCGCTCGCTGTATACCCATTGTAACATTTCAGTGTGGCTAATAAGTTAAAATAACACTACCTGGGACTGAAAAAGTTAATTAACTTTTCTTTCTGTGTTAACAAAATAATGTGTGTTGCGTCAGCTAAAACCCCTAACCATGTGGTTCTCACTTTGTACCATGTGTGTGCCAATGTTACCATGTATCATCTATGTACTAGTGTTAACATCTGTCATCTGTATGCTGGTATTAACATCTGTCATCTATGTGCTCATGTTAACATCTTTTATCTGTGAGCTGGTGTTAACATCTGTTAACTTTGTGCTTGTGTTAAAACCTGTCATTTTTTCTAGTGTTAACATTTGTCATCTCTGTGCTCATGTTAACATATGTCATCTGTGTGCTGGCGTTAAAATTTGTAATCTGTGTGTTACTGTTAAATTGTGCCATATGTTTGCTAATCTCAACATCTACCATTTTTGTTTTAGTGTTAACATGGTCTATCTGTATTCCAGTGCTAACATGGTCCATCTGTATTCCAGTGCTAACATGGTCCATCTGTATTCCAGTGCTAACATGGTCCATCTGTATTCCAGTGCTAACATGGTCCATCTGTATTCCAGTGCTAACATGGTCCATCTGTATTCCAGTGCTAACATGGTCCATCTGTATTCCAGTGCTAACATGGTCCATCTGTATTCCAGTGCTAACATGGTCCATCTGTATTCCAGTGCTAAAATGGTCCATCTGTATTCCAGTGCTAACATGGTCCATCTGTATTCCAGTGCTAACATGGTCCATCTGTATTCCAGTGCTAACATGGTCCATCTGTATTCCAGTGCTAGCACGGTCCATCTGTATTCCAGTGCTAACATGGTCCATCTGTATTCCAGTGCTAACATGGTTTGATCTGTTATTTTCAGAGCTGTGTTTGGTGTGCTAATTGTCCTATGGGCTCTTGTGTGCCAAATGGAC